CCACTCCTGCGTGGACTCTAGCAACAGATTTTTATATTCTTTGAACTCTCCAAGCACATTTGCAGAAGAGTGGGAGAACTGAGTGGAATCCACTCAATCACTTGAGAACACTTATTGACTCCTACTACTTTTTATTATGACTTTCCCCCAAAAACATTGAAAAGTAAGTTGTCACCATGATGCGTCACTTCAGGGTATTTTAGCAGATGACACCTAAGAAGGCTATCTTCCACCATGATCGCACTTAAGAAAGCAGCAAAAATTCAAAAACAACCTCTGATACATCGACCGCATTTTATTTTCCCCCGTTCTTCTCAAAATGACTTCAATGGTCACCTTGTTTTTCGGTCTAGGATATAAGGGTCACAAATTGCATTTGGTTGTTGTGTACCTTCATTTCTAGCTAGAAACGTACTAAAGATCAAAGTACGGGCCACAACCCAATCCTGCACAGTTTGCTCTTGTATCTCAAGGATAATGTTTAAAAATGTCAAGAGATGTTAAAACTCCACTGAATCGCTGGCGCCGCGGCTCACTAGGCTAATCCTCCGCCTTGCGGCGCCGGCACGCTGGGTTCTAGTCCCGGTCGGGGCGCCGGATTCTGTCCCGGCTGCCCCTCTTCCAGGCCAGCTCTCTGCTGTGGCCAGGGAGTACAGTGGAGGATGGCCCAAGTGCTTGGGCCCTGCACCCCGTGGGAGACCAGGGTAAGTACCTGGCTCCTGCCATCGGATCAGCGCGGTGCGCCGGCTGCAGCACGCTGGCCGCTGCGGCCATTGGAGGGTGAACCAACAGAAAAAGGAAGACCTTTCTCTCCGTCTCTCTCTCTCACTGTCTACTCTGCCTGTCAAAAATTAAAAAAAATTTTAAAAAATTAAAAAAAAAAAAACTCCACTGAGTCTTTTTACCAAGATGGCCCTGAAGGTGAAGGAAGATCCTGCCCCTCCCAAAGCAGAAGCCAAAGCCAAGGCTTTGCAGACTAAGAAGGCAGTGCTGAAAGCCGTCCACAGCCACAAAAAGAGAGAAGACCCACATGTCACCCCGGCCCAGCATCCCAAGGCTGTTAGCCTCCAGCAGTGGCCCAAATATCCTAAGAGTGCCCCCAGGAGAAACAAGCTTGACTGCTATGCCATCATCAAGTCTCCCAGACAACCAAGTTTGCCATGAAGAAGACAGATGACAGCGACACACTTGTGTTCGATGTGGACACCAAGGCCAGCAAGCACCAGATCAAACAAGCTGTGAAGACGCTCTGTGACACTGATGTGGCCAAGGTCAACACCCTGAGCAGACCCGATGGGGAGAAGAAGGAATGTGTTCCTCTGGCTCCCAACTATGACACTTCAGATGTCAAAATTCAGATATCCTAAACTAAGTCCACATGGCTAATTCTAAATATATGTTTTTTCACCATAAAATAAAAAGACAACTACACTGCAATACAACCAAAAGAATACACAAGAGAGATCCTATGGGATGCACAATGCAGAACACACTTGAAATCGACCCTTTACAGAAAAGGCTTACTGATCCTCATATCTAGTAGTGCACCTGCTTTCTCTGATTTTTAGAACGGCTTTGTTGAAGATTTCCGTTATCTTACGGAATGTATCAAGAGTTTCCATTAGTGTCATGGATTCCTCATGGTTAGACTCAGGTTAAAGACTTTTCTCTGGAATGTTAGACATAAAGACAGTGCTCCTTTTATTATAACACTTCCAGAGGCACACAGGTCAGGCTGTCCGGCTACGAGCAAAGCAAATTTTGTTAAACTGGTGACTCCCAGATGTCTCCGTAGCAGGGCACAATTTTCTTTCTAATTTACAGGTAATTTGAGAACTAATGTTTTGAGATTGTGTGGCTATCTTATTCCTCAATAAATATTCATCCATTAAGGTTATCAATTGGGAGGAAACAAAATGAAGGTTTTACTGATCCTATCCCTGCATCTATATTGATTATCTAGCATTCATCTATACACAGAAACATGTGCCCCCCCCCTAATTTTTTGGAGTTTTCTTGTTCCCTGTGTTTTAATCCATCGTCAATACGGTTGCTATTATTTACATACCAGACTACACGTATCTTGTCTGGTGCGAGGCTTCAAGTCCTTTTCTTTTTTGACATGGCCTCATGTTCTCAAGTACAAGTCAGAGTGTCAAGGCTCCCAGACAGAGAGTAACATCACCCTCGGACCTCCCATCTCATTCTTGTCCTGGATCACTCTCATACCATTCTTGTTTGTTTCCCCTTCAATGAACATATGAGCAACTTTTAACTAAATCCTTAAAAACAGAACTCATCATATTTAGTTCTAAAACATCCTGATTGACCATGAATTAGCATTCTATATAAACCGTAAATTGTACCTAAATATATGTGTATAAACATTATCTACATTCTAATTCTTGCTATAAGCTCACTAATAAACTATAAGAACATTTACATTTCAGGCTTTTAGGAAATAAATAGAAAATGCAAACAAAATATCCAAAATGAGGGTAAGGGATGAAATGCATAGGATTGATTTCATGTGTGTTGCGAAAATAAAGAATTAAATAGATGTTTACCTAGAAAGCAATTCACAAAAATATAAATGTTCTCATATATTTTTGCCTTGCAATACCAAACTCATTCACCAATTTTTACTTCAAATATCTTTCAAACGTTTGTATTTGTATACACTCTAAGGAACATACAAAAGAAAAAAATAGTGTGTCTTTGGAAGTCGAGGCATCATTAACATAGATCAGTGTGTATTTTAAAGCCCCAAACAAATCAGATGAAAGAAGTGTCTAAAGAATTGGGATCAACAGTAACCTCGAATTCAGCAGACCTTCCAGAATCTAACGATTGTGATGCACGCCTAGATGAAAACTCCCCTCTTGTCCAGAACCCCAAAGGTGTGCTGATGGCCCAGGGGAACGCAGGGACATAAAAAGTCAATTGTTGTCTCCCATTTAGTCAACTTGTTGTGGCACCTGCTCTCTGCCCTTTGGGGTGCTTCATCAGAGAGGTGTAAATACAACAACACACACAGGTCTAGCCTGGAGAAACTTAAGCACACCCTCCGCAAATGATGATATAGTCGACTACGTCTCTAGAGATCTGATCAGTGTGTTTGCAGATCATGGCGGGAAGCCATGCGGTCACAGAAGGAGAGAGAAATGGCTGTTGTCAGAAGGTGGGGGGGGGGTGCCATTTGGAGTATCAGCAGGAGGCGTGTGCCTGGAATTCAAGGCCACCACCTTTGCAGCACAGGCAGAGCACTAAGGCGTGAGGGTGCCTGGTGCATCCTACAAACTGTGGTATGGACCTTAGCAGCTTCCCAGCCAGTGTGTGCTGATTGCGAGGGGCACTGTACTTGCTACCTGCTTTCCATGGGAAGAAAAAGAGAGTTAAGAGACAGAAGCTTTAAAATCTGTTGAAAATCCCCCTTGGGTGAACAGAGAGCTCGTGTAATTCAGAGATCTGCAGTTCAACGACTATTGTTTATCACCTTGAGAAAGCAAGACACAGGTTGAGTGTATGTTTCTGCAAGCTGCCACTTCCTGCATTCAGTTTGATTTTCCAAACAGAAAAATGTGATGTTTTTCACAGAGAATTAATTTCAGATGCAAAATCTTTTCGGCAAAGAAAAACAAGTCGAAAGCTACTATGGGAGAGGGCTTTTGATCTAGCAAGTAAGCCATCAATTGGGACGCCCATATCCTGTATCAGAGTGCCTGCGTTCAAATCCCAGCTCCACTTCCAATGCCAGCTTCCTGCGGATGCACACTCTGGGAGGTAGCAGGTGACGGCTCAGGGACGTGGGTCCCTGCCCCCCACTCAGAGACCTGGATCCCACTCCTGGCTCTCAACTTCAGCCCCAGATAATGAGGGCATGTGGAGAGTGGACCCGGAGATGACAACTCGGTCCCTCTGCCTCTCAAATTTAAAAGCAAATAAACAAAGATATTACGCCTTCCAAATATGCTAGCAAAGGAATGTACGTACCGTATGCACTGCTTGGTTTTGTTGTCAGTGGCCCCTGGCTAGGTTTGGTCCAGGTTCTGTCTCCACATAACAAGGAAACCAAGGAAGGAAGGATGGGAAGCAGGTACTTAAAGCAAAAGCACACATTCAGGAGTAAGCGTGGACAAGCTCAGAGAGAATGAGCCGTGATTAGCATGGGTGAGGGCTGTCCCTTTATATCTGGAGGGGACAGGAGGTTGTGTCTGGGGCGGGATTTACTTCGATATCCACAGAGTGGGATTCGGGCACAGACTGAGTATCACCCATTTCTTTGCCCCTTTTTGGAGGTCTCAGAAGTGTCACGGCATCAGGTACGTGATGGGAGTGAGCGCGTCAACCGTGGTAATTGTATTATAGCGACAGTATAGTGAGCTGAACGTGTCCGTGGGGATGTGGCCTGCAACCAGGTTGGATACTTTGAGTTGGCGCCTGTTCTAAGTGGGAAACTCCTGGACACTGTGCTTTTCCACTACACAGAACGGGGCATTAGGCAGTGCATGGAAAAGGGGTTTGGGCAGACACACAGAAGCAGGGAGATGGGGACTGGAGACATGGACGGCACAGGCCAGGCTGCCGAGCAGGCTGGGCTCCTACGTGAACCGGGCTACCACAGGCCAGGCGATACCCACCCATCAGCCCATCCCTGTCTGCATCTATATCCCTAGACGGGCACAGCTCAAGACTTGATGAACTACTGAAGGCGCACACAGTAAACAGCACTGGTTCACACTCATACCAAGAGGCTAGAAACCAATTCAGCACCCAGGAGCCCAAGTAAAATAAAAACTACTCATGTGGCTCTTAGAAACCAAACTCCATGGGTCGGTCTCACTGAACTCTCTGCAGAGCAATACGGTTCCTGTGTTCCCCAGTTCTCCCCTCCATCCTCTATGCTCTACTCAATGCTATACTCTGCAATCTCTCGCCTGATGAACCAGATCCAAGTGGACATCCCGCCGCCACCCCTCTGGGACACTGCACCCACTTACCGATACTGTTCACCTCATCCTTGTCCCTTGGTCGCTTTCACTGTTTATGGGCCATCTCCCAGCTGGACTGCAAGTCGTTCTGCCTCTTAATGGGCCTTTCCTGTTCACACAGGGAACATTCACAAACTCCTTCTACTGTCTGTTTGATGGGCTATCTTCCAGGAAAGCCCTAGGAGACACAGGAGTCCAGGAATTCCAGGCAAGTCCATCATGATAAAGGAAGACCCACTCGCCAACAGTTTGGAGAATCGAATCTGCCAGCAAAACCCACTGTGGTAACGGGCAAGAGTGGAAAGGAAAACAAAGGATTAGGAGCAGCCCGAGGAGGAGAGCTAAGAGGGGGATTAGCTGAAGCTCACTCCCGGAGAGGCTGATCCCACTGTGGACGTTAGGCTCGGAACCTAATGATCCGCTTTTTTAGGAATGCAGGAACACAAGTTTCAACAGGATTTCCTTGGAAGACATGTTTTATCACCAAGTAATTTTTCCTTGATTTCTGAAATATTGAAAAAGTGGTTACAGTGCCTTATAAACATTACCAGAATCTGTTAAATAAAAGGTTATGTCTGCCAAGCCACAAACTTCTTTCAGCCTCATAATTTATGTCACCACAGCCTGGATTCTGGGAAGCCCAACCAAGATGTTGGTGATAGATTGCCATCCTTACAAAACAGAGGACCAGCTTGGCAAGGAGACTAATACCAACGCATTCTGTGAGAAAACATGGCAACCGAGAGGCAGTGGACTTGGCCCGTGTCCTGGACTCTGGTTGCCTAGCGAACACACACAGGAGGGTAAGGAAAGTTATCAAAAGAGTATTAAAAACATCTACTTATGGGAGGAAATTATCTCAAGTCCAAGCAGCTCAGAGATGCTCTTAATACCATCACTGACCTGCTGTTCTACGTTGAAGGAATTGAACGATAATGTGTGTTTATAAGCCCATCAGTACGTTTCTAGCCAAGAACGTGTGCTAGATGCAAACTAAAAAACACAAAATGCATGCAAAGAGAAACACTTAGACTGTCTCATCCCAGTGTACTGCTTCTCTGCACTAAGTTGTTGATCTGAAAATATGGACAACATAGGGGCGACCTCTTTCCCAACCAGCCCCCTTCTCACCAACCGGTTGTCTTCTAGCAGGGATCTTTGCTCTCTCCTAGGCATTCATTTAGGCAAAGGAGCTTCGATGAAGATCAATAGTGTAATTCCATGCATAGCAAGAGAAATCATAGGAAACAGGAGATAAATGAGGAGGATCCTCAGAGTACACAGTGGGGAATTCAGAGCACTGAAGACTTTTAATTTGGTCTCGGAGTTTGCTTTTGTCCCAGAAAGAGGGAGAGGAAAGCAAAGCCAGAGGAAGCTGGGTTAAAGAGTCTGAATGTAGAGTAGGAGACAGAGTTATGAACAAATAAAGTAGGGGCCAGCATTGGGGCATAGCAGGTAAAGCCACTGCCTGCAGTGCTGGCATCCCATGTGGGCGCTGGTTCAAGTCTCGGCTGCTCCTTTTCTGATCCATCTGTCTGCTATGGCCTGGGAGAGCAGCTGAAAATGGCCCAAGTGCTTAGGTCCATGAACCCGCATGGGAGACCTGGAGGAAGCTCCCGGCTCCCGGCTTTGGATCAGCGCAGCTCTGGCTGTTGCAGCCACTTGGGGAGTGAACTAGTAGATGGAAGACCTCCCCTTTTTCTTTCTTTCTTTCTCTCTCTCTCCCCGCCCCCCCCCCCACTCTGCTGCCCTTCTCTCCGTGTAACTCTTTCAAGTAAATAAATCTTAAAAAACAAAAACACAAAAAATAAAGTCTATTCATGTCAACCTTTCATAAACACTTTAATTCTCTGTATCCTATTTCCGTCATAGTGCTTACCATAAGGAGCAATTAGATTATCCATTCTCAGAAGGAGTATTTGACATAGCAGTTAAGATGCTATTTTGGGGGGCTGGCGCTGTGGCACAGTGGGTTAATGCCCTGGCCTGAAGCATTGGCATCCCATATGGGCGCTGGTTCAAGACCCAGCTGCTCCACTTCTGATCCAGCTCTCTGCTATGTCCTGGGAAAGCAGTGGAAGATGGCCCAAGTCCTTGGGCGCCTGTACCCACATGGGAGACCTGGAAGAAGCTCCTGGCTCCTGGCTTTGGATTGGTGCAGCTCCAGCCATTGCATCCAACTGGGGAGTGAACCAGCAGATGGAAGAACTCTCTCTCTCTCTCTCTCTCTCTCTCTCTACCTCTCTACCTCTCTACCTCTCCTCTCTGTGTAACTCTGACTTTCGAATAAATAAATAAATCTTTTAAAAACAAGATGCTACTATGGATTCATAAGTTACCTTTCAGGGTTCTGGGTGTAAGGCCCAGCTCTGCTCCCAAAGCTCACTCTCAGAGGCAGAGAGGATTTGAGTCTGTGCCAGTCATGCGGGCGACCTGGCCTGGTCCCAGCTCCTATGCTTTCAAATTATTTAAATAAATTTAATTAAGTCAGTAGAGCTTGTGTTATAGTGGATAATTCCCATTGAGAATAACTCCCCTTCTTCAAAGCCATGGACGTAGTGGGGGTGGGGCAGGAGTGTGCCATTCTATGCAACGGCCCCAGTTTGTAACGGTCCATTGCAGACTTTTGGCCTCCACGATGGTACAGAAGAGGTTCACGTCTGGTGGAAACTGCTCCTTGAATCTCCAACTTTGATCTTTCCTGGGTTGGTGAGTCCTCACTGGGGTTGCTGGGTGGCAGCCGCACAGTGCACAGGCAGATAAGCCACACTCGGCTAGGTGCCGAGCGGCTGGCAGAGGTTCCGTTGGCCAGGTGCACTCAACGCACGTCAGACTTCCGATGAGCCTACTGGGGTGGCCCCATCCTCAGTAAGGGAGCATCTGTGCTGGCAGCCACTGAAGAACAGAATCGGCTCTAGAGGAATCCGGGGACTTTCTACCCTGCGGTCTTGCGTCTCCCGTCCCTCCACCTGCAGGGGTAGCGGTTGCTCCAAGCATGCGCACACGGCTCAGGCCAGCGAGAGCGGAGCATCCTTTCTCAGAATGCGTAAGACTTCACCTGGTCAGGCAGGGCGCCTTGCTCCCTGATCCTGCGGCTTTAAGGATGTGACGCAGAGGCTGCCCGAGCCTGACCCTTCTGTATGGAGAAGACTGAGCTCTGAGAGAAAGCTGCATACACCCAAGGAATCAGGAACCTGGGACCGGCAGCTCCACCCAGGCTCCCTGGCCAGGATCCGCAACGCTGCTCCCACGTCTCGGCTGTTGGTTTCCCCACTGAGTCTTTGGGGTGTTTCACTATGTTTCTCACCACTCCTGTGTTTCGCTTACCTTATCTTGAAATGAATGTCTCTGTTACCCAAGAAAATCCTAAGACAGGGGCTGCTATTTCCTTTAAATTTCACAGTAAAACCAGAGACTGTCTTGGCCCATAATTTTCTCCAATCTCGAATAGGCAGCTAGTAGTTCATGGTCAACTCAGAGTCTACCCTAAGAATAAAAATGTTACTACTCTACATTACCTTTTTCGACAGAGGACCGCACTCCCACAAAGAATGAGAGGAGTGAGAAGATTAATGACTGAAGATACTAGCTCTCCACATTTCCGCATTTATTCATTTGGATGACTGGCGAGATTCTGCTGCAGAATTATACTCTACTGACTGTAACCGTTCACCCACTGAGCGCCACAGTTTTATTCTGAGGAAATCATGTGCAGCTGGTAGACTCATACACAAAACACTGCATTTGTTCCGGAGGGGAAAGGGGAGGGGGAAGGGAGGAGGGGAGGGGGAAGGGAGGAGGGGAGGGGGAAGGGAGGAGGGGAGAGGGAGGGGGAGAGGGAGAGAGAAACAGGTTTTTGCAAGTGAAATGCATTACAATTCAGTTTTTGTCTTTTCCCTTCTTGCCCTTTTGAATTTTTCTCCCCACATTTAAGCTTCTGCTGATTTCCCAGTGGTATGTGTAGAAGTGTACATTTCATAGTGCTCACTGTATACAGAAAGGAAATACTATAACAAATAAGCTCTATTAAAATTCAAGGAACAATGCATACATAGCTGATTGTTGAGGACATTTCAATTGGCTTCATAGGTTTAACTGCACCACTCAAGACCCGCGCGGACATAGCTTAAGCCTCGAACAGTTAGTAAATGTGGCAGACAACTAGCCCCTCTTCCTGTCCTCCAGCCAGCCCGATTATTCCTCAGTAACACAACTCAGTGGCTGAGAAGGAGCAGCCTGAGGCCAGGAAAGTCATGTTTCTGGGAAGCCAGTCATAAGGACTTCTTGCCATCTTGCTCAGCATCAGACCAAGGCTAATGCTGTGGCCAATTCTAGTTTATGTCAGACAATGGGGCAGACTGTAGAAGCCTCCTACCAAAGATTCTACTGATAAAGGGCAACAGCTATGCAGGAGAGACAGTCATTTTGCACCTACAAGTACACTTCAAAATGTGTGTGGGTACAACAGAAGTAGAAGATCTACTTGGGTGTCAAAAAAAAAAAAGTTGAGACCTATGCATAGTTTTCCTGCAATACCTCTTCTCCATGAACTTTCAAAATATCCTCATAGTCCCTCCCTTTCCACACAGACATGGTAGCATTACGGTGCAGTGCCTGCAGGGGAACTCCATGGAGAGTAACAGAGAGAAAACGGAAGGACCGAAGGCAGGCAGGAGCCTGGACCTTGAATTCCTGGCGAGTAAGCTACTGTCTTCACTGTCAGTGCCAATGCCGCCACAGTCATTAGTTATTTGCAGCTGAATATACCTGAGTTTAATATATTATAAAATAGAATTGAAAGCACATATTCATCAGTTCTATTGCTAAATCAAGGGGATGACTGCTATTTAGAAAACATTTTAATTGTGGAAAAGCTAACTTTTTTCAGTGGAGTATCAATAAACTCATCAATAAATCCTGCCAAAGGTCAAGATCATCCGACCAGGGGGTAAGAAAACGAAGAGGTAGAATCAGCTAAGAGTTTAACGTTACAAATGCTAAAGAGCACTTGGTCTGCTTTTACTTTACACACCATTTCTCTCATGTACAACTTTAGCATTTGTAGATCTGATTAAAAACAGATTAACTGAACAGAATGCATAATGGTCCTAAGCGGAGTATCAGAAAATTGAAACAGATTTGAATACTCTTCTGCAACTGTGAGGATTTAAATGCATTGACTATGTCAGCAATTCAGACTCTCACGGCAACAGATAAAAGAAGCAAAGATAAAGGGAGGCACAAAATAGCCAAGTCTTTGGGGATATTAACACTATTAAGAGCAATATGGAAGGAATCAAAACTTGGTCAACAGACAAAACAAGACCTTATGAAATAAAAATATGGGCCAATGTTTACAAAATTCTGCATGCCTTCAGATTCCATATGTCTACAGAAGAAATCAAGGGTTTGGACCCAATGTGCAGTTGTGAAACCTTCGCAACAGATGAAACGCACAAGGATCGCCTGGGCTCGTGCATAGACACGCATGCTAAAGTTTGAATCCTGATGTAGACACGAGCTGAGTTGCAAGCTCTGATGCAGTGTTTTTCAATCATTTCCTTCTGAGAGACAGAATAACCCCCTAGTTGGAAACACGCAGAAGTCAAACAAAGAGCTCGCGTTGTTGTGTTGTCCACAGTCCTGTTTCAAATCAGTTTGAGATATTCGGGAAATAAGCTCGCATTTGCATTCTAACAAATTATCTTTTTCCAAGATAGTAAGTGTTAAGAGATGTACATTGTCAATGTATCCAATATCCCAGCCAGAAACAGGCAGTACAACTACGTGAATGTGGGTACCAACTGTTGATTAATAAAACCAAGACACCCACATCAGAGGGTACCGCGCTTCTCGGGAGACTTCCCTGGAAGAAAAGTAAGAACCGCAGACCTAGATAAACACCGCGTTTAAACCATCAGTCGATGCAGATCTCATGAAGACAAGAATGCAGCCAACAGATGTGACTCAAACCTCACCAGACAGAGGGAACTCATAACGAGGCCGACAGAAAGCTATGTCCCTGTCTGAATTCTGTGTGACGGGTTGGAAAGTGACATCTAACAACCCAGATTTCGGGGTAGCAGCTGTCATCTTGCTGAGCCATGTGTGTTTTCCTCTCAGCTCATTCAGCCTCCTTGGGTGGCTCTTCCAATGTGGCAGTATCCTAAAAAGATGAATTTAATCGCATGCAAGACATTTGAACTTTACATAACAATGCCACAAAGGAGAGCTACTGCGCTCTTGTGTTTCATGCTTCTTAGATTTACTGCTTCCCTACACCCAAGGAAACCTCCTGTTTTTGCACTGCAGTTCTATTGTTAAGGGGTAATCTAAATGTTTCTCCTTCCCACTTGTGCATATCAAAATTCTACCTTTTGGCAGGCAGGCATTTGGCTTAGCAGTGAGGATGCCCTTGGGACGCCCACATCTCCATAGTAGCTTCTGGCTCTGAGCATCACCTCCGTTCCCCACTCTAGCTTCCTGCTCACATGTATCCTGGGAGCCACTAGGTGATGGTTCAAGTGACTGGGACCCTGCCACCCACAGAGGAGACCCAGATCAAGAACCAGGCTTCTGGCTTAAGACCCTTTTGTGGGTTTCTGCCAAGTCAACCAGCAGATGGGAACACGCCCTCGCTTTGTCCTTCTCTATCTCTCCCGATCAAATACATTAAGTAAATACATAATTTTTAGGCCATCTTTTAGCTTTGGCTCAAAATGTTGGAGCCAGATGCTGACTCTGATTTCCAGCAAAGACAAGTTTCTGCTAGTTCACTCAGACTGGTGTTTCCTTAGAGTTTCCTGAACAATTGCAAAAATCCCATTTGGAGCCTGGTAATAACACCTGATGTTTTCACATAGCACAGGGAGCCGCTGGATGAAGAATCTACTAATCAGCCACTTTTAGAATTTACCCCTAAGTTGGCAGACAAAAACGTGTGGAACGTTCAGGGTCATAAGAACAAATCACCTTTCCCATTAGCGTTCCAAAATGGAAGGAAAAACATGTCTGAGTAATGCCAGATTTCAAGTCCAAGGAACATTGCACAACCGCAAAGCACTGTTCCAGCAGCAAGCTGCCAACAGAAGTCTCTTTGGCTTTCAAAGATTTCGGAACACACTGGACGTACATTGGGAAAGCATCTTAGGAGTTAACAATCCTGCAGGGATCCAGAGCAGATTGAGATGTCAGCCTCGCTCTTTCCTAGCTCTTTCCTGAGTCTGTGGATGGAAGAGACAAGAACTCTGTCATGAAATAAATAGGCAAGACAGCCAAGGTGCAATTGCTGGTGAAGATTTTTCCTATAGTCACTGCGTATTAGTGAAAAGAAGGGTTAAGGGTATGACAAAAGGAAACCCAGCTCAAGAACCTTCTGCCCCAGCCTTGATGGTCACCAGCCACCATCAGCGCAGACTTTGAGTTACATCTCTAAAATGACAGGTCAGGATAATTGGACTTTACAATCGTGTCTTCTGCCAGTCAAGCAGGTGCCCAGTGTCTGCCTCTGGAAAGCAGACAAATGGACATGGAAAACCACAAAGGCCAGCACTCCACAACAGGTGTCCCTTGATTATGGGCTTCCCATCTTCCTTCCACATCTTCAAAGATCCAGAGGCAGATTTCAAGGGGGCAGGATCAGAAATAGAAAGGTCTGTTTGGGAAAGCACTTGTATTCAAGTAATGAGAATTGGGCATGCACAGACAAAGGCTGAAACCAAGCCCATGTGTAATGTGCAGTGCCTTTATGTAGATCTTAGGAACTATCAGACCCTCATCTCCCACGGTCTCCCTGTCTCCCTCCTGTGGCTTAACCTTTCTTTGCCCTGCCTTGACGATTGCCAGTCAACCTCTTATTCAAGGTAACTCACTAAAGGAAGGGAGAGGCGCATTAGGGTCAAGCCAGATCCACGGGGTCACAGATCCCAAGATCTTGAGGTCCTTTATCTCTTCTAGAAATAACATCTTGATATTTGCCCTAATCCTTCAGACATTTTAAGTAACTCCAGGCCCTGAAAAAAAGTAACAACCACTTGCAGGTTGCTCCCAACTGACTGGAGCCCAGTTGGCCATCATCAAATTTCCCAGAAGGTTATCATCACCATCTTATTGCTGTCAAATCAACAAAGGACCACAAGCACGGCGCACACCCAGACACCTACACAGGAGCTGCA